CTTAGCTCCAGTGCTGAGACTAAAGAAGCAAACTCCAGACACTGAACATGTCTCGGCTAATCGACTACGCTTGGAGTAAGAGGACAGTTGTGTAAACGTGATTTTCGGCCAAACTATTGCTGTAACCAGCGGCCACGTGAGGGTGACTCAAGTTTGTGGGTTTTATCAAAACAATGTGTCTGAACAGGCCTGAGAAAACATTCCCCACACGAAACACTGGAGCTGCTCAGATATCCTCCCAGAGGGGAGAGGAAGCAGTGCTTGAGCCGGTGAAACAGTGAAGGCGGGAACAACTGGGCCACGCTGGGCTAATAACAGCGCTAGCCCAAGGACACGGTTCTCTGCTCACATACACGGCTGGACGAGAAGCTCCAGTTATAGGGTCAGTGGGTTGGCTTTCTCCTTCTCCTTTCGCCGAGGGGGGAATAAAAAAAGAAACAAAAGGCAGCGGAAAGCGTATCTCTGAGTAAATTTAGAGAGGAGAAAAGCTCTCCCTCTGATCTCGTTAGCAGAGCGTGTGCGCTGGTGCCGTTCTCTTCACTTCCTCCAGCTATGGCACGAGCCCAGCTCACTGAGGCGGAGGCAATCTCGGCCTGTTGTGCCAACACAAGCGTGCCCTGCCCTACAAGCCTGCTCCAGCAGACCTCGGACAGGTGGCAGCCATTCACTTAAAGGAATAATTTACCCCGCCAATTAGCACGGTGCTAACTGCCGCCTAAAGCCTCAGACCATGAGGAGGTGGCCAGTGTCTCTGACAGAACTGATTATGTGGTTTCTGACACTGTATGGCTCACTGTTCTCTATAAACATGGACTAAAGTACTTTAGCATAGCTACCCTGATAGCAAGAGGACAGAGGGCCTCTGTTGGCCTGCTGATAGCCAAGCTGGTGGTCCACTGGTGTTTTTGTTCAGTGTTTTCTGGGCGGCCCACCGGAGGTTAAGCAGAGTATTACACAAAACTCCACTCATCATCACTCATTTTCCACTCACAGTCCAATTTACTGATTTTTCCTTCCTTCTGTAGTTTTACTCTGTAAATTAGTTTAGTAAATCATTTTAATCTAGTTCAGCGTCGGCAACAACAGCAAAGCATTTTATTTTAGACTTTTATTTTCTTTCTCTCAGTTGTTTGTAATATTTGTCATAATATGTCGTAATATAGTTTATTTTCCAAAATAAAAGTCTCTGTGCATGTAAAATCTGTTTGAGGAGATTAAAACTATTGTAATATTTGTCTTAGTTTATTTTCCAAAATAAAAGTCTCTGTGCATTTAAAATCTGTTTGAGGAGATTAGAACTAGTTAGAGCTTGTATGCAGGACAGTCACTTGGGTGGTCCGAGGGTGGACCAGCAGTGGCAAACAGTCAGTGGGGTCCCGACCTTATTAAGCCATGCTTGTTATCTGGTTAAAAACTGAAATGGTGAAATAAGCGAAACACGGTAGCACGCAGAAAGCCCTGGTTTTTTGCACTGACAATTCGAAAGCTTAATATTTGTAATCATTTATGAATAATATTTTAGCTCACAGCTATTTTGACACAGTACAATCTGGCCTTCTTTGAAAAAAGTTTAGACACCTTGGTCTAACGTTTACGGTCAAAATGACTGCAAATGACTTTAGAAACACTTGTTTAGAGACAATGTCAGACTAAATTATGCACTAAGTAAAGTCAGGGAACAGTGCATATAGGGGTTTATTTATCATCTAGATAAGTATTATCAAAATGAACCTCTTGGCCTTTCTACTGTTAAAGAAATTAGTCACAACTGTAGACACTGTGACTAGAATCATATCAGTAAGTGTGTTTATATGCTCTCAATAATCCGATCATAATCATATTTCTGCAGTTATCCGATTATTCAAATGGTCATGTAAACACCATACTCCGATCTAGAAATCCAATTAAAAAATCTGATAAAGAGGCTGGATTTTAGCTCAGTAATCAGATTTCTCAGTGCTGTGAACTCTTACTCTGATTTCTTTCTATTTTTCAGTGTCAGCATGTGTGAAAACAGACTGCTGTACCGGAAATAAGTGAGCAGTGTTGCTGTGAGATGCAGCAAAACACTTTTGACTCTGTCGACTTTGATCGTAAAAATATTAAAGTGAAATAAAAGCTGCCATTTCTTTTTTACTACTGTATCGAAAACATCTCATCATGCAAAAACCACGTGAAGCCTGTCTATCATTACACTCCTGCTATAAACTGGGTAAAGTCCTATCAGGCGCTTCCACTGCAAAACAGTGCCAAATTGGGTTTTTTCGAGCAACGTCAGAGAAAAAACACTCTTGGTTCCTAAAGAACCGTTCAGTGCATGGTTCTTCGATCTTCATGAATGAGGTGTGGGACTGTGAATAACTTTTAAAGTTTAAATTTAAAGAACCTCCATGTAACATAAAGACTCTATACCAAACCAGACTGCTGTACTGATGGTTCTACTCCAGTTTTTGGGGTTTTTTTGCTGTGTCATGACCTCAGAGAGTGTCTGACAAGCTGGTAAACCTCAAAAGCAGAAAGACCAGGTTACAGTTGCTAAAAAGTACAACACAAAGCCTGTAGAGTCCTGGGACAAAGTCTTACAGACACTTGAGAAGGAGATGAACCGGCATCAAAGTGACGGTCCGTGATGGCAGGAGTGGAAGAGCGTCTGCTAAATGCTGTAAATGTGAATGGAATTGGATTGCTATGCCTATTAAGGGTTTTTCCCAGAAACGTACGGTCAAGCCAAGAACCGTTTAGGAATCAAAGGCACAGCCATTCACTCCCATCTAGTTCATCATCTTCTCATCTGTCTATAAGACTTTGTCCCACTTTCACATGCAGCTGCAGCTCTGCACACTGGACTCGCTGTGAGTCCAAATAAGCTCCTAAGGATTCCGACAAGCCAGCTAATAAATCAGGGGTGTAAAACTCAACCACTAAAAGGGCCACATTTAAAAATCTCATCAAATCTGTGGGCCAGAGAAAAAAGTTTTTATTTCATTTTTAATTAAATGTTGTGCTGTAACCCAAACTGGTCATTGTTTATTCAAAATACGCAAAAACTTAAACAGTGAAATATCAGCATTTGTAGTAGAGCTTGAAACATTACATGGACACTTAAAATATTAAAAAATTGAACTTCCCCCGTAGTTTAGTCTTTTAAATCTGCCTGTTTGCTTGAACTGGACACCTGGCGTCCTTTCTTTACCGCAAGTTCATTAAGACTTGGGCTCAGTTTCTGAGCTGCTGAGCTGTTAAGTGTTTATGTTGGTTGAACTGCAGCTGAAATGCATTTTGGTGATATTATTGTGCAGAATTGTGTATAATTGAGGTGTAACCGCTGTCCCATAGACTGTTTTTGGGGTAGGAGAGTCAGAGCACATTATGTTGCAGTGCATGCTGGGGACTGTAGTGCAGCACAATGTGAAACGGACTAATATAAATAGAAAATTAAAATACTTTTGCGGGCCGGATAGGACTGTGTGGCAGGCCTGATCTGATTGTGTTTAACACATGGGCACTAAATGAAAGCGTGCTGTCTAGCCGGCTGTCCAGACCTGTAGGAAAATGATTCAGACTGCACCGACCGGTAAAGCTGACATGGCTACTTAAAGCAGCTTTGAGCAGCTTAAAAACCTTCATCACTTCTGCGTTCACATGACAGTTCACCAAGAAGTCATTTCACTAAAAGTGATGGTGGGGGACGGAGGACCATCCTGCCCACCCAGAGAGAGAGAAGAGTAGAGGCTGTTACCGCAGCAAAGGAGGACAAACTCACTGTTAACTCCCTTCATTTCAGGAGCAGGTGATCACTGACTTTCAGCATTTTATAAAGTTATTTTTAGCCAAAGAGGAGCTCTGCCACAATGTTTTGTTCTACAGACACAAATACCCTCCACTTACAACATCAGTCCACTCTTTAACCTCATTCCAAATCCAGCGTATGTGAGCACACGAGCCCATACACCAGGAACTGCACTGCACTGTTTATCTGAGTGCACTGCCAGAGCACAGCTGGCTTTAATGCAGGAAACGTGTCTCCACTGCACGCCTCAATGGACGTGCAAATTAACCCTTTTCAAACTTCTCTGAACTTCACTACGACTTCCAAAATACAGACAGAGGTTCTGACCCCAAACACAGCAGGTCCAGCTGCTTCAGCCTTCATTAAAGCTTCATTAAAACTTTCCTAAACTGGTGATTCCACTAAACTTTCAAAATTCCTGCACAGCTTGACATGAAAGGCATTGCTCTAGAGTCAGAACTGTTCACAGTGGTGGTGATAGGAACCAGACGTCCACCTCTAAAAGCTCCCTCACAGAAAGTTACTACATGAAATGCTTATAAAGGTCTGAGACATTGTTTTATGATAGTTCTGAAAAGCTTTTGGGTCTAAAACATGAATATTTTAAAATCCATTCATGGTGGAGGGATACATGCAGGGCGCTGTGAGGCAAAATAGTCCCCAAAGAAAACTTATTATTTCAGATTTTCCACCATCAACATTCCATATATACTCAGAAGACTCGTGTAGGTTCACTGGTGGTTTGGATAGTAAATAAAATGTCTATATTTGTGTTGTAGTCATGGCGACCCCTGGTTCCTATCACCACCACTGTAAAGGCATCTGAACCATTTCACACCAAACCACTCTGAATGACCCTGTTTACATCTCAAACAGTTAATTAAGAGGAAAATTTGGGAAATTAATCATTTTACAGTGGCTCCAAACCAATGTTCAGTCATGAAGGCCCATTTTAATGGTGTTATTATTTGTAAATAGACACAAATTGGTCTAAACACGTGCTGGAATGCGCAAATACATGGTCAGAGTTCAGCTCTGAGCACTTCATGCTCTCCTGTCTGTGTTCCACTATCTGCCTGCTGTTTGGGTTCTGTCCTTTCCTGATCTCACCAATACAGTTCATGCACGTGCAGCCTGTTCAAAGTGACTGATTCAAAGTGATCATTTCCACCAAACCCCCCAAAGAACGCCCGCGGCAGTGGAGCTGTACCTGTTCTGCCAGCCCTGCAGGAGGTTGGTGTATTTGCTCAGCACTCCCTCCAGCTGGGCTTTACTGCGCCTCCCCATCGAGCCCTGACCCGGAGAACCAGAACCAGATCCAGATCCAGATCCAGATCCAGATCCAGAACCCGAGCCCGGCGCAGAGCTCTGGACCGACCGGGCCGTCCTGCGCGCCCAGCTCGCCTTCTCCAGGCCCGCGTGCAGCGTCTTCTCCATGGCCGCGTGCAGAGCAGAGGAAGGCTCTTAGCTGCTGAAGTGGGGCAGATCCTTCATCATCATCATCTTCATCTCCTCCCGCTCAGAGGCGCTCTTATCCGTCTGATCGCTCCTCTCCATTCCTTCTTCTTCTTCTCCTCCTCCCGGCCTCAAACGCGCCGCTCCCTCGCTCGAGCTGCTCAGTCCGTGAAGCCCCGACTCTCGTCGCGTGCTCCGGTGGGCAGTACCATGGCAGGAGAGCGGGCTGTTTACACTGCAGCGGAGAGAGTCTCTCTCTCTCTTTCTCTCTCTCTCTCTCTAGCAGAAGTCCAGCCCACCGCTCGGCTGAGCCACGCGCTGCGCGCTCCCGTCTTCCGCAGCCTAACCAACGCGCGCTCCCGCGAGAAAACGGCTGTAATGCTTTTTGACACAGCGCGTGCCTCCGTGTGAAATGTATCTGTTTATGTGCATATCCGTCAGTTGCATCACGTGTTTGTGTTTAAATCATCGCGATTTTTTTCCTTCTTTTTATTCTTTCTTTGTTCTTTTATTTCGTTTTTTTCTCACCACTTTCCTTCTTGCTTTCTTACATTACATGTGTTATTATATTAGTTTTCTTTCTTTCTGTCTTTGTTTACTTTCATTTCTTTCTTGCTCTTTCCTTTATTATTCCACCACTGCTTGATTAAGCCCGGGCCCTAACTTAGTAAGGCATGGAAACGAGACGGTTACTCAGGCATGAGTATGAGATAATTAGTAAGGCATGAGAACGAGACGGTTACTCAGGCATGAGTATGAGATAATTAGTAAGGCATGGGAACAAGGTAATTAGTAAAGCACAAGAATGAGATAATTAGTCAGGCATGGGAACAAGATAATTAGTAAAGCACAAGAATGAGATCATTGGTAAGGCATGGGAACGAGATAATTAATAAAGCAAGGGAGCAAGATGATTAATAAGGCAAGAAAGTGAGATGATTAGAAAGGCATGGGAACAAGTTAATTAGTAAGGCACGGGAACGAGATAATTAATGAAGCAAGGGAACAAGATAATTAATAAGGCAAAAATGTGAGATAATTAGTAAGTCATGAGAATGAGACAATTAGTAAGGCATGGGAACAAGACAATTAGTAAGGCCTGGGAATGAGAGAATAAGTAATACATGGGAATGATATAATTACTAAGGCATGGCAATGAGATTATTAATAAATGATGAGAACGAGATAATCATTAAGGTATGGGAATGAGACAATTAGTAAGGCATAGCAAAGAGATGATCAAGTTGTGGCTATAACTTAGTAAGACGTGGGAATGAGATAATTAATAAAACATGACGACAGGATAATTAAGTCATGGCCACAACTTAGTAAGAATGTTCATCACTTAGTAAGGCTTGAGAATGAGATCATTATGTCATGGCCATACTAAGTAAGGCATGGGAAAAGATAATTAAGTTGTGGTCATGACTTAGTAAGGCATGGGAACGAGATAATTAAGTTGTGGTCATGACTTAGTAAGGCATGGAAATGAGAAAATTGTGGCCATAACTTAGTAACATGTGTGAATGAAATAATTAAGTCATGACCATAACTTAGTAAGCTGTGAAAGCAAGACAAGGCATGGCCATGACTAAGTATGGCTAGGGAACAAGATAATGAAGTTGCCTAAGTAAGGCATGGTACAAGATAATTAAGTTGTGGCCATAATTTAGTAAAACATGGGAATACGTTGTGGCCATAACTTAGTAAGTCATGGGAATAAATTGTGCCCATAACTTAGTAAGGTGTGTGAACAAGATAATTCAGGCACAGCCATAACTTAGTAAGGCACGAGAACAAGATAATTAAGTGGCCATAAAGGCATGGGAACTTAGTAAGGCATGGGTATGAGATAATTAAGTTGTGGCCATAACTTAATAAGGTGTATGATAACAAGATAAAAAAGTCATGAAAATGAGAAAAAGTGTGAAAATGAGATAATTAAGTTGTGGTCATGACTAAGTAAGGTGTGGGAATGAGCTAATTAAGTCATGGCCATATCTTAGTCGAGCATGGGAATGAGATAATTAAGTTGTGGTCATGACTTAGTAAGGCATGGAAATTAGATAATTAAGTTGTGGCCACAACTTAGCAAGGTGTAGGAATGAGATAATTAAGTCATAGCTATGACTTAATAAGACATTAAAACTGGATAAGTAAGTTGCGGTCATTACTTAGTAAGGTGTGAAAACGAGATAATGAAGTTGTGGTCATGACTTAGTAAGGTGTTTTGATGAGATAAAGTACTGCCTTAATTATTTTGTTCCCATGTCTTAGTAAACTGTGGCCACAGAATTTCTCTAAGAATGTATATCACCAGCAAGTCAGTTTTAGTTGGTCAGTCTGTGGCCCAGTTGTCTTTGTCACTCAGTCAGCCGTTTAGCTCCTTTTTTAGTTTTTGTTGCTTTTTCTTTTTTCTGGAAAACAAATTTGCCACCAAAATTTGGACGTGTGTCACCTCCCCCACTGAGCATGGTGGGCTTGGTCTGCCCTGCTGTTGCTAAATCTGTGGCCTCCTTTCTCCTCACTGTCATTTCAGCCTCTGTTCCTACGGCAACACAGTAAGTCAGAAAGCTGCCAAAGGCCTGGAGGCTCCTCGTCCCTCATCCTGACTGACCCAGCCTGTCTGCCCCTCTATCACCCAAAGCCCTCAGAAAGAGGCAGAGAGAATATAACATTCCTCATTTACAGTAAAGCTACAGCTTTATTTGTCTCACTGTTAAAAACTGAATTGAACTGAGCTGAGAAATCCATCCTCAGATCCATTACAGGTGACTTTAACTGTGAGCGCTCTTATATTTCACGCTCCAAATAAAGGATATCCAGAAGATTTTATACTGTTTGTGGAAAGTTACTCCTCAGAGTTCAGCGAGTGCAGCTTTTGCTTACATTCATCATCCGAAGTTAAACTGAAGCTACTAAGTAAACGCTACAAACGCTGCTTCCAATCTATTTAAGTGTTGGCTGGAGATGCGGCCGGTCTGCTCCGGAGGTCCGTCAGAGCCCGTTATCACTGTGAAAAATTTCACTTGTCAAACCCAGAACAATCTTGGCAGCATGAAGGAACAGTGCATCGACCAGCTCCAGCCAAGCAAGCTTTCATTTTTAAAACTATTAGAACAAAGAAATGAAGCACCACGATGAACAGTGATGCACTGAGGCAGATTAAAAACAGCAGAGTGGCGTACGGCATGTCTGAACGGTAGCAACACACAGCCATGCAAATAAGAATCTACTGAACTGGTTGAAAGTCAAAGTTGAAAACATATTTAGGACTTTTGAACTGACTTGAACGTCTTCTGCTTTGAGTGACCGTATACCTTAATTATGTTAATTTTATTAAAACAAATGGCCGAACATTCAATTTTGTCACTACCAAAAGAATCAGAAAACCAAATTACCAAATGTTTCAGTAGTGACAATTTAAGCTCAATTTAAGCAGAACTCAGAAACACTACCCAGTACATGACTAGCAGACAGCGCTATACACACATAAATTAATGATATTTTTCATTAAAACACCAAAAAAGTTACCTAACTGCGAAAAAGCTGTGTTTCGGTAGTGGCATTTCGTAATGTTCCACACTGATTTTCAGACTTTGGGACACATTTACTTCAAAACAATGGAATCTAACTGCTCACCATGTGACCATGAGGGACAGGGATGCTCTAAAATGCAGGGGTGTGGCTAAAACAAGGCTCCGCCTACAGACTAAAACTCTGTGTTTTGGGAGTGACATAAAAACATGGAATAAGTTTTTTGAATAAAGTTTAAAACTCATTAAAAATCAACATCTTTCAGCTTCACATTAAAAGGTCTTAAAAAAACATTGAAAAAAATACAACAAAAAAATGAAGTTTTATTGTCATTATCACAAGTGTAAATTTAGGGATTAGGGTTTGTGACAGACACCTCACAATAGAGAGAACACTATAAATGATGATGTTGTATATATTTGGATTATTATCATCTCTATTAAGGCCTTGGGTTTAAATGGATTAGAGCATAATCCTTGTAAATATCATTTCCTTGTAAAACGTCTGAATAAACAAAGAGTGATAAAGGCTGGTGGTATCTTCAGTATTTGACTGAACTGCATTGGATTGCTCTGGTGGTTCTTCTTATAGAACCATGGACACTCAAAGAACCCTTTGCATGATTATAGCATTCTTCAAATTGATGGAGAATGTGCTGCAGATGGTTCTATAAGGGTTCTTCTATTGTTACAGGCTTGACATCATAACTATATAGGAACCCTTTTTGGTGCCACATAGAACCCTCTTCAAAAAGTTTCAGTATAGGACCATCTGCAAACATATATGTCAGACCACAGAAGAGCACAGTAGTAGTAGTTTGATCAAAGAAAGCTTTGTTCAGAACAAGAATACCATCCAGGATGAAGACAGAGAGAAGAATGGATTTAACACAAGATACAAACCACTGGTAAACCCCATGAACAGAAAGGCCAGGTTATGTTTCGCTAGAAAGAATGATAAAAGCTTTATTGATAAATCAAACAAAGTTTAATCTGATAGAATGAGAAAAGCATGGGCAATAAGAGGAACTACTCAGGATCTAAAACAGCTCTAAAGCCAACAATGTCATCTGTGAAACATGGTGGAGGTAGTGTCAGAGGCTCACACCTGATGTGTTTCAAACATGTTTTCCATCATCATCCTGGATAGTATTCCTGTTCTGTACAAAGCTTTCTTTGATCAAACTACCACTACTGTGCTATTCTGTGGTCTGCCAGCTTCACTGGCCCCCAGCTGACCCCATCCAGTTATCCAGAACTCCAGCTGAGGAGGTAACGCTGTTTCTCCTCAGGGCTGTAGATTTTATCTGTAGATTGTTGCCTAAGCGAAGGATTAACCTGCGTCCTGACGTCAGAGTGAAACACAGAGCGCCCGGTAGAACTCAAACACACTCAGGCTCGTCTCGTCCATTAAGGCCACAGTGTGCTGCCTTTAGATCGATGTGCAACCGGCACCAACTGGATCAGCTCCATCAGAGACACTCACGTACAGATCTGCTTACACTGAGAGCCGATCACCAGCAGAACTCACTGATAATCAATAACAGAGAGGGGATGGGGGGGGTTCGAGAAAAAAGAAAACAGAGAGAATAGACAGATGGAGAGAGAAAGATACAGAGAGAGAGAGAGAATAAAAAGACAGAATGAGAAGGAAAACAGAGAGAAAGACAGATCAATTTAGAAAAAGAAAAGAGAGAAAGAAAGAGAGACTGAGAAACAGAAAATAG